GCGGACACCTGTTTTCATTCCTCATTAGGAATGACAAGAATTAGAATTTCTGGGATGTAGGTTAAACAATGTTCAACACTCTAAGAGGCCAGGCACGGTGGCTCATGCCTGTAATCCCAGCACTTTGGGAGGCTGAGGCGGATGGAACGCTTGAAGTCAGGAGCTCGAGATCAGCCTGGCCAACATGGTGAAACCTCACTTCTACTAAAAATAGAAAAATTAGCTGGGCGTGGTGGTGGGCACCTGTAATCCCAGCTACTTGGCATGATAATTGCTTGAACCCAGGAGGCGGAGGCTGCAATGAGCTGAGATAGGGCTACTGCACTCCAGCTTGGGCAACAGGGTGAGACTGTGTCCAAAAAAAAAAAACTTCATAAGAAACTGCCAAGCTGTTTTCCTAAGTGGCTGTAGTTTTTTTTTTTTGCATTTCTACCAGCAATGTGTGAGAGCTTCATTGCTCTACATCCTTGCCAACAGTCGGTATTTTGGTGGTTTGTAAGATCTAGCCATTCTAGAGGTGTGAAGCACACATCTCTGCCTCATCTATTCCTTACAGTAACTCTTTGGAGATGGAAATTATTTGTAGTGGATTAAGGATGGCCACAAACTCCTTAATTCCTTCCATGAAGGGGTAAAATCTGTATTCTCTCCCCTTGATTCTGTCTGGGCTGTGTGACTGCTTTGACCAATAAACTACAACAGAAGTGACACTGTGTTAATTTCCATACTCAGGCCTCAAGACATGTGGCAGCTTCCCCTCCAGCCCATTGGATCGCTTGCTCTGGGGAGGCCAGACAGCCATGCTGTGAGGAAGCCCATGCCAGCTACGTGGAGGGAAACTTATGCCAACCAGCCCCAGCCATCCCAGCCCAGGTACCAGACAAGTGATGAGGGAGCAGCTTCGACTCCAATGAGCTGAGTCCTCTGTGATCTGCTCTAGCCTGCAAAATAAATGGGTGGTTGTTTCACACCACTAAATTTTCAGGTAGTGTGACACAGCAATAGATAATCAGAACCATTATCTTCATTTTACAGAGGAAAAAATAAAGGTTCAGAGAGGTAACGTGACGCGCCCACGGCCCCACAGTGGGAGAAATCAGAACGTGAAGTGCCAGCAATTGGCATTATATCAGATGTCAAAAGAGGTCCCAGAACAGAGGGGTGAATTTCAGTGACAGAGACTGGTTAGGTCAGCTAGTGGAAGAACTAATAAGACAGACAGGAAGCTGGACTTTGATTTCTAATAGCCCAATTTTATCAGAAAGGAAGTGGCTTCTCTCAACCGTGCAGCCCAGGGCCTGGCTTCTCTTGGACCTGTAAATTGATCAAACTGTGTTTCTGAAGGCTGAGGCAGGGACCTAGGGGAACAGTGGCCCATGGTGTGACATCACCTGCCCGTAGAGGATCCTACTCATCCCTAGCGTAGACTTCAAAGCAGCTCTTAAAGAGAAAAAGAGGGCCCAAGCTTGAGCTGATCACCAGACATCTCTCTCTGCACTCATGTAGCCCCACAGCATGCAGCAGACATACCAGGTAAACCAAGTGTGAACCTCTAGGAGCTGACGGGGATTCTAGAATATAAGTGGCATTGGCACAGAATGCCCTTGCAAGGGCTGCGAACTCAAACACCCCCAGGGTTCCCAAAAGCATCACATATCTGCAGAGCTGGCTGGGCACATTCTGTCAACACAGACACATGGAAAGAGCCTTCGCTTCCAAAAGGATGCATATTCTCTTCCATTTCGTGAACATGGGATCCTCTTGGTCTGGCTTTATTTTCCCAATTTCAGTAGGGTCAAAAGGACAGAGAAACAAGGCTGGGCGTGGTGGCTCATGCCTATAATCCCAGCACTTTGGGAGGCCAAGGTGGGCAGATCACGAGGTCAGGAGTTCGGGACCAGCCTGACCAACATGGTGAAACGCCATCTGTACTAAAAATACAAAAAAATTAGCTGGGTGTGGTGGCATGTGCCTGTAAGCTACACAAGAGGCTGAGGCAGGAGAATCGCTTGAACACGGGCGGCAGCGGTTGCAGTGAGCTGAGATCGTGCTACTGCACTCCAGCCTAGGAGACAGAGTGAGACTCCGTGCCAAAAAAAAAAAAAAGAACAGAGAAACATCATCTATCAGAAATACACAAGCACGTGGTGGCTGTGGAGTCAGGGAGGGTCCCCGGGAGCAGCCAGCACTGTAACACACTGGAGAGCACACTCGCTGCCCACAGCAGGCGGTCGCTTGCTTGCCACGTGGTGTGGTGGCCAATGCTTGTCTAGGCAGGAACGAGCACCCCAGGAGGGCCAGATCTTTGCTTTTCTGAGAGAAGCCAGAACTCTAGATTTTTCACATGAAATTCTAAAAATATCACAAGCGAATGCTCACTTTTTCCTCCCAGAAACATCAAGTTATCTGCAGGCAGGATTAGACCTGTGGGTCATCTGTGTGTGGTCTCAGGATTAAATCTTTCCAAGAAGCATCTCCAGGCTTCGAGTTAGGAGGATCTGCCCGATGCTGCCCGCCATTGTGAGTCTCCTGGCAACACAGACACACATGTCCCACCACAGGAAGCTGCGACGGTTTTTCAGGGCTGGGCCACGTGGGTCTCTCTCCACCTGTCCACGCGGACTCCTGCCCCCAGCCCTCTTCAGGCTGCTGCTGGGTCTCCTTTCACAGAAGGCCCGTGTGGATGGTAGGCTGGGATTTGAGAACAAAGGTGTCCCTGGAGCATCCATCCACACCAACCCTCCCAACCTGCCTTCCCTGCCTGCAGCCACGATGCTCCACGCAGTACCTACCACGCCACATCCCTGGCCTCCCCGCCTTTGCACAGGCTGGTCCCTCAGCCAAAATGCCCTCCTTCCCTATCTATTGAATTCTCTGTTTCTCCTTCCAGCCCCAGATTCATCACCAGCTGTTCTGCGAAGCCTTCCCAATTTCCTAGGCAGGACTTAACACCGCTGGCCCCAAAAGCCCTTCAAACCTTGACCCCACTTTTGCAACAGCACCGTAGCACGGGATGGCAGCAACTGGTACCCAAATCAGTCTCCCCACATAGGCTGGGGCTTGATGCGGATGGAGATGGACTGAACTCTCTTTGCAAACTCAAGCTCATCACGGGGCCCATTCAAGAGAAAGTGCCCAATGCGGCTGGGCACAGTAGCTCACGCCTGTAATCCCAGCACTTTGGGAGGCCGAGGTGGGAGGATCGCTTGAGACCAGGAGTTCGAGACCAGCCTGGCCAACATGATGAAACCCCATCTCTAATAAAAATACCAAAAAATTAGCCAGGTGTGGTGATGGGCACCTATAATCCCAGCTACTTGGGAGGCTGAGGCAGGAGAATGGCTTGAACCCAGGAGGCGGAGGTTGCAGTGAGCCAAGATGGCGCCACTGCACTCCAGCCTGGGCAACAGGAGCAAAACTCCATTTCAAAAATAAAGAAATAGCAGGCACTGTGCCCAGCAGTGATCTTTAACTGAGTGAGTGTAAGTGACACAAAGTGCACAGCTCATAAGTGGGCAGCTTGATGAATCCACACATATGTTCACCTCCACCAAGACTCAGATACAGAATATTTCATCACCCCATAAGTCCTCCTGCCCGCCATGACTGCCCTCTCCAAACCAACTACTACCTGACTTACACCACCCATAGACTAGGTCTGCCTATTCCTGAACTTCAGACTAACGGAATCACACAGAATGTATTCTTGTGTCAAGCTTTTCAAATTTATTATTATTATTTAAAAATAAAGATGGGGTCTCCCTATGTGGCCCAGGCTGGTCTTAAGCTCCTGAGCTCAAGAAGCTCTCCGACTCTG